AGAACCATATCTCAATTGATCCTCTAAGTGAGTCTTAGTACAATTGTATGTCTAAGAAGAGGAATCAAGAATTGAAGAAATGGTTAAATCAAAAAGTCAATCATACTTCGTTCTAATAACAAGTCTCAAAGTTAAGATTGTGGCAATAAGTGACAAGTATTATGAAGGTTTTTAACATTCATCAAATGTGGAAAGTTGTGATGTCTTGGATAAGACAAAGACCAACTAGGACCATTTTATGAAGTGTTATGATAAAAACTACACTAACTCTTGAATATTTGGTTGTCAAGAAATGTTTATTGACAAGAGAATCTTATATGTCAAGGAGACAGTGGGAGTCTTAATGGTCTTGAAAGGTTTCAAGAACAAATCAAATAAACCTTATCGATCATCACTAGCACACGAGTTGAGGTTTACACCCTATCGTGTTGACACTATTTTGTTTTCTATGCCATTCCAATTGAGTTAATTGTGCATATGAGTCCTATGAGTTCTCGTTTGAATGCATAAAAGGCAAGGACCTTGATCAATGGAAAGTATTTTGATAGGCAAAGGTGCTGCTTAACTACTTGAGAGACATGGTGGGCAGTTGTGCTACCATAAGGCAAGAAATCAAGATTAAGAAAGTTCGGTCCATATGAGTTTGAATTTGTCGTAAACTTTGGTTTTAACAAATTCACATGGATAGGAACACATACACCGTTTAAATCTAAGTGTCATAAGATTTCCTCCTTCATGAAAATGATTGTGAGGAAATGCTTTCGCTAAGAAAGATTTTAAAAGATAGTGATTGTAAAATTGCATTCTCAAATTCGATTATGGTTACGGTATCCCTTTCCATGATTTGAGTTGTAAGGTTTGACAATTAGTCTTAATTGTTTAGACACACATATGAACTATCTAAGGCAAAGGTGTAAAAGTTCAAGAAGCTTTGATAAAATATTATCAAAGCACTAAGTATTAGAAACATGGACTTAAGAAATTCAATAGGTATTATTTTTTTTTTCTGAAAGTTAAGATGTTTATGAATACATGTCGAAGCTAGTGGGAGCATAAGTGTTATGTTCATCATGATAGTGGGAGCATAAATGTTATGATTGTATGATTATTAAGGAAAGTATTGCAAGTTGGCAATATTAATTATACAAAACAAGATTCATTCTTTGCAAAGTTGTAAGGATGGAATAGTTGTTTTGCTATAATTAAGGGAGAGAATATTACGCTTCATTTTAAATCTAAAGGCTTAGGTTGTGGAATATTAATAAATTTAGTCAAAAGTACATAGTGTGTTCTTAAAATTTCGATTATGATTACGGCATTCCTCTTCACAATTCGAATTTTGAGAACATAGCAAATAAAACATTATGGAAAAAGATTGATAAAGTATCAAATCTTTATGTAAGACATTTCGCATCGTGTCCCATACGCTTCGGGTACACGATCGATTGCAAATGTTATAATATTTGACCATTCTAAATTTTTCCAAATGTTTAGCGCATTTAGAAGGAAAAAGGACTAGAATCGGTTTTTGACCAAAATAATTAAACAACTATCAAAGGACAATCCAAAGTTCGCCTATGATTGGTTGCTTGTGAGTAATTGGAAGTATAGTATTGGATGGACCATATCGACATTATTATATAGATAAGATTCTATTGAGAATGAGCTTTCATATGTTAAGTATGGAAAGTTTTCCATTTTGAGAATTGAATATTGAAAATCTATGTCTAAATTAGATTTTTTTTTTGCAAAAGGATGTTCAAAGGAATGTACTTTGAGTGAGAGACATCATATCTAAGGAATTGTATTGTAACAATCTTTGATATAAGACTTTGTAATATCATTGGCAATAGTCTTTGTGACTTTGGTGCAGTGACATTACGAAAGGATCATTGCATAAAATGTTAGAATCTAGCATATTCTATAAGTAGCAAGAATTTGATGTTCTGACACTTATGAAAAAGGATTAGGATTTATGAAATGAGAATGATTGGAAATGTGTCCAATTTGATCTATTTCACAAAGTAAGAACCATAGGTAAACATTGTGTGCATGCGGAAGAGCATGGGACAAGTGTAATAATTCAAGTAAGAAGTTGATTACCCGAAACGACAAATAATGAGTAATCGATATGGTGATAAATAAAAGGTGTTTTTATTTATACTCAAAGGTTTGAGGTCATATGGGATTAGTATTATTCTTGTGTTTCACTTTGCATGTTTTGACTTCCTGAATAATTTAATTGATTAAGAACAGTCAAATTATTCGAACGGGCCACAGTTGTTCATATGTTGGAAGTAGGTATGAATGAAGACTGTCGTGAATTGGTGTGTGGATTGTCTAAAAGAGTATTAGACATAAGCAAATGTTTGCTGCAACGTTCATGAGTGCTTATGAATATGAATTTGAGCATTGGATCAAACCCACGCTCACTTGGATCATTATATGGATTGTATCACAAGTGATTGGTGAGATGATAACATCTTATATTCTTGAAACCGAGATGTGTGAGTTGTATCTTGCAAATCGGTTGCACATTGATAATATGAAAACGCACTAGTAACTTGGTGTCATAAAACATATTGTTGTGTGTGATTCGGTGAGTGAGTGCAAGCGAGCATTGAATCAAAGTTTATTCGTTCCTTTTATCCCAAGTAGGATAAAAGCGATATCTTTGGGCCCCTCGATGGTTTAGGGATGACAAACGTAAATGCTCGGCCGTGCTAGGGCTAATTTGATTTGTTCAATTAGTCAGTCGTCATAAATCGGAAGTCGAGAAATAGTACAAAGAGAATGATTTGAAATCATATCTCATACGATATCTAGAATGGAGGAATATATGATCCCTTATCTAAAGGACACGCGTATCTGATAGGATCAGAGTTGACAGCGGCTTTGGAAAGCTACGATTGCAGATCAGGATCTGAAGTCATACGCATAATAGTTATTAGACTTATCCAAGTGGGAGACTGTTGATTAGTGTCTAAGTCCATAACTATTTTGGTATGTACTTGACCCGATGGTGCATGGTCCTTTTGGGTTGCCTTCACCAAAGCAACTTGATAGGATGAATTATGGAGAGAAAGGATTAAATATGATTTATTAATATATTATGAGAATAATATATTAAAGGAGAAATCATATTGTTTAATTAATATTAGTCAAGAATTAATTGGTAATTAGTTTTGTGACTAAAAGAGATTAATTAAACTTAAGGGATTGGAATTGTAATTATAAGATAATTGCAATTTGGGCTATGGATTGCCATATATTAAGGAGTGGACGAATTCTATGGGAAAGCCCATGAGGAAATCGTCCAAGGCCTTAAGGAAATGAATCTATGGGTTTCTTAGGGCTTAAGCATCCAATTGTTCCAATGCCATTCAATCAAAATGGACCATGCTAAATCGGGTTAAGTACATACCAAATATAGTTATGGACTTAGACACAATATCCAACAGAATCTAGCAACCACAATCTTAAAAGTAGTCTCCTCAACGCAACCATGTGTCATGACAAGCCTTTAGTCGTAACGAAAATACTACATAACAAAATATGAGCGAGGTCATACCAACCTTTATGTCGCGACCATGCGATGCTCATATCGCGTGTTCTGGGTAGAATCACGTACTCCATTAAGTGTTTACTCCTTTAAGCCATAGGCTACAACTTTCTACAATCTATTAAATGACGTTTTTGAAACTTTATCCATAACCAAACCTCTAACATAGCCAACACTAAACCTAGATCTACAGTTTGGAAAAAAGGTCAAGGACATTCTTGCATGGCTCCAAGGGGGATTGAGCATGCACTCCACTCAACTTAATGAGTCGAGAAAGCCATCCAGAGCAACTAGTAATTTGGAGTTTTTTGCAAACTCTAAGCCAATCAACTATAAATGGACCAAATCATGCTAAAAACCTAGATGTAGAAGCATTCAACCCTAAAGATCCAAAATTCATAACTTATAGTGGAATTTGAAGTGACAAGAAAGTGGAAACTTCTTTTGCTTATTCTTTAAGGATCACATCACAAACACACAAACATAAAGAAGGACGGATAGCAGGCTAGGGTTTCTACTCTAGCGCATCTAAGAGACAAAGGTTGAGTTAGAGCCTTTAAATATGGTCTAAAACTTACGACATGGGGTTTTGAACTGTTACGGTGACGTGGGGCAACGAAGACATGGCCGTGTCGTGAAGTTGCTTATCTCTAAACCAACTATCTTATTTCAAAAATGAACACAGTTATTTTTATATGGTTCTATAGTTCTTTAAGTAGTACTTGGTTATATGTTGGTCTCTTATATATATATATATATATATATATATATATATATATATATATATATATATATATATATATATATATATAACAAAGGGTAAATGTGTAAGTATAATTTTATAACCTTGCTCGATTAAGCTCCTGAGTTTCACAAGCCAAGTATTCTAATATTTGAGCTTGGGTCGATAATGTACTCTAATAGCTTGAGCTCGAGTTTGAGCTCGAATTGACTTCAACTGAGTCAATATCGAGTATTTTTTGAGTCGGTTTCGAGTATCTCACTAGTTGGTTCGAATCAGTTATATCTATATTTATAACTCAAACATGATGAAGATGGCTTAGTGATGATCTCCTTGTATAATACACTCCATATTATAAGTCAAACATTATTAAGACTACATAATGATGATATCTAGGTATAGTATGAGAGATTTTAGGATGGAGTTGATACAAATTCGAATTACACAAATTAACTTTGAGTATCCGCCATTCAAAAATAATGTCACATATAAGTCTACTGCAGTTCAACGGACTCTTTCTGGTCACATATCTTGGTTGTTGTATCATATTCGTTTAAAATAGGCATGCTAGAAATTATCAGTTTATTAAAGTCATGGGTGTAAACTGATAATTTTAAAATATATATTTTGAGGACTCTTATGTGGCCTTTTATGTCTCTTGTCACCCATCATTCCTTTTCACCTCATCACGCACCACCCAACCCAAGTGGCAGTTCACCAGTATCTTTCATGGATCAATGGTGGGCCCTCTAGCTTCTCTCTCTATATGTCTCCAGCGACTATATATATATAGGTTGGTGGTGGCGTAAACCTGGATAAGTTTGTTTTGAAGGGTTATTCTACATTATAAGCATCGGGATATAATAGCATTAAGATTGTCAAGTATTTTATTTTTCCGCTGGTGATTGGTGGTGCTTAACGATGGGAAGACAGCCGTGCTGTGATAAACTAGGGGTGAAGAAAGGGCCGTGGACGGCGGAGGAAGATAATAAACTCATCAACTTTATACTAACCAGCGGCCAATGTTGTTGGCGTGCTGTCCCTAAGCTCGCAGGCCTCCGCCGGTGTGGGAAGAGCTGTCGTCTCCGGTGGACCAACTACCTTCGTCCTGACTTGAAGCGTGGCCTACTCACTGAGTCTGAAGAACAACTGGTTATTGATCTCCATGCTCGTCTCGGAAATCGGTAGGTCGTCGTTGGACTCACTCACTCCAACAAAAAGAAATTCTCAATCTTTTTTTAAAATTACGTACTCCATTCTCAAATCTTTTTAAAATTTGATTATCGTATCTTATGTTTTAAATAAATTCGTTTTTGGTTGTTTAAGACCACCCGTTCTGTCTATATACGAATTTTATAAAGACAAAAGTATCTTATTAAAAACAAAAGAGATCAAATAAATTAAATATCAAAATATAATTAGTCATACCAATCAAATAAATATGGTTTATGGCCGACATGTTTCATAGTAAAGCTACGACGAGGTATATTTTAGTGCCTAATTCCATTGCTCTAAGTTTCAATCTATTTAAATAAATGAGCAATTATGTAGAAGTCATAATTCACATAACCTTTAACGTTTATTTCCACAAAACTAATACATAAGACGTTCCTTTCGGTTTCTTCATTGAATTTTGAAGCGAACTTCATCTTACTTTGTAGGTCGGCTAGATGATCTTTCATGTTATGAAAATAAAATCTCAGCAAACAAAAAAAAAATGAAATGAAATTGGAACAAATTCATTTTAATTTTTCTGTATCATACACTCATACAGTGTTCACTAATTAAATTTCTTTATTATTTGATTTTTTGTTAGGTGGTCTAAAATCGCAGCAAGATTACCAGGACGAACAGATAACGAGATTAAGAATCACTGGAACACTCATATCAAGAAAAAACTCATAAAAAGAGGAATTGATCCTGTCACTCATGAACCACTTGAAAAAGAATCTCCCGACACAAAGACCTCATCTTGTCCAGGAGAACACTCCTCAGAATCTGAAAATAACAGCCTTTCACCACTGCTCGAAAGCATCAATGCTACAGGAAACTCGGAGGAGAACTCAAGCTCCTCACCACCTGAAAATTGTTCAACTTTGAGTGATGAACCACATAAGTTGTTTGATAGCCTTTGTGAAGATGAAAAGTTGTTAAGCTACCTTCTAGGTGATGATGAGCCTCCACTAGTTGATACAACGACTTGGGAGTTACCAAACACTGCACAAAACTTCAATAACTTTAGTTCGTGGGATGATTGTGCGACGTGGCTATTTGATTGTCAAGATTTTGGAGTTCATGATTTTGAGCTGGACTGCTTCAATGAAGTTGAGATGAACATCTTAGACAGACTCGAGACAGGAAAGAAACAACAAAAATGAAGTTATTTAGTTCAAAGGAATAAGATTGTGATGTTCTTGGCCCGATTTTTTACCATGGTGGAATGAGACGATTCATCTACGAGTCTGAAAGAGAAACAAGTATTAATTAATGTATATTAGTAATATTACACATGTTGGGAATTAGTGGATTTTATGTTTTTAGTGTTACTAAGCACCATGTATATGATGGTAGAAGAAAACTCAAGCCTTAAAAGAGATTTCTCCCCATCAATTAGGTAACGTTATCAAACAACAAAAGGTGTAGCTACTTAGAAAATATGGTTAAAGTAGGAACAAATGTCAAATTCCAGAACATAGAAAGGTCTTTGTGAATATGGAAAGTTATTGTATATGTCTTCTTTTGTTGACAAACAATATTACAATATATATATATATATATATATATATATATATATATATATATATATATATATATATATATATATATATATATATATATATATATATATATATATATATATATATATATATATATATACGTTCAAGTTCATTTGAGACCATTTTAATTTTGTGAGACCGTGAGATCAAATCTAAAAATAATTTTAAAATGCAAAATAAATGGAAAAATCCAAAAAAAAAAATTTTAAATATTATTTTCGGAACTTGAATTAACTAAAAAAATATAATAAAAAATCTCGTTTTTTTTTTTGAAAAATACGTGAAATATTCTAAATAGAATATTACACTGGTATATTCTAAAAAATATTTTTAAAATGCAAAATAAATGGAAAAATCTAAAAATTCTGTTTTTAAATATATTTTCGGAATTTTAATTAACTAAAAAAAATAAAAAAAATCTTTTTTTTTTTAAAATACGTGAAACATTATAAATAGAATATTACACTGTACATATTCTAAAAATAATTTTAAAATGCAAAATAAATGAAAAAATCAAAAAATTCTTTTTTTAAATATTATTTTCGGAACTTGAATTAACTAAAAAAAATAAAAATAAAATAAAAAAATACGTCTCACGGTCTCACAAAATTAGGCCGTCTCACATTAACCTAATCCTATATATATATATATATATATATATATATATATATATATATATATATATATATATATATATATATATATATATGTTTTCTTTTGTTGACAAACAATATTACATTATTTTCTTTCGAAATATTAGTTTTTTCTTCTTTGTTGTCCATCTTAAGATCTTCTGCATAAGTTTTAGATTTATATTGCTAAATGCTGAGTCCGATTTATCAAAAAGAATGTTGTCATTTTTTATAAAGTATATATCCTAAGAGTGAAACCAGGAGACATGTAAATTTTTTTTTAAAATCTCAGTTTCTAAAATAATAATCAAATTAAGAAAGCTGATCTGTGAATTACGGTGATCAAAGCTTACGAATAAAGATGATCTGGAAAATTTTTTTAAAAACTTCTGGTTGGATTATGACAGCCTCCAAGTATAAATATGTTTAGAGACAACAAGTCTTATTAAAGTTTAGTATAAATATGTTTGCATGTCAACGTTGAAACAGTATTAGTTTCATATCAGTATTTTTCAACCAAGCAGCCAACAATCCGCCTGATTAATCTTGTTGTTTGATGTTGCAACATCAGATCTGATATTTATCATGTCGAAGAGCACAAACTCCACGAGAATGCTTTTTGGAGGAAGATTAATATTATACACATTGGACATGGCATCTCGTAAAACCATACAAGGAGTAAAAAGTTATGCATCTTTATATAGAATCTTATAGTGTGAAACCTAAGCGGTAAGCCCTTTTTAATCAAGTAATCTCCATATCTAATAAAAGAATAGTTTTATTCTCTTTTTAATATGTTTCTTGACATGTGTAATCTTATTAATCCTCCAAATTAATGCATATTTTATTCTTCTTTTCCCATAAATCATCATATTATATCTCTTAATTAATACATGAAGTTTGTAAACTTATTGATTTTTCATTTCAAATTTTAAATTTCCCATTCTAATTATATTAAATTAATAACATTAGAATAAAAATTAAAATAAACTTACTACAAATTATAAAGTGATATAATTTCACATATTTATTTAAATCAATTATTAGAATTTATATAACTAAAAAAAAATTTTAATTAATAATTCATTTAAAAGAAATGATTAATAATTTTTAGTTTTTATTTTAAAATTTTTATTAATTATATAACCGTGGTTTTCACGGATTATAAACTAGTGCTATATATTTTGTAAGCACCTAAATTGAACCGGGTTTGTTGGAGCTATAATGTTATACAATATCTTCTCTTCTAATAAAAGAATCTTTTACATGTCACATGACCATTTTCTAAGCCTCTACTTTGCCACATGACATCTTCTTCTAAATTCTTCCATTAAATTCCCGCTCAAAATTGATACGTCCGTTCTAGGCTTAATTGTATTTTTAGAGATGGAGACTTTCCAACTACTAAGGTTATAAATTAGGAATTATATTAGCTAGGAACACAATTTTGATAGTTATTCCCTTCCCTGAAATCAGCATTGATTATTTTGGATTCGATTTAATTGGTATAATTGAATCCATTTGCACCCTAAATCTCTGTAACTCGCCGCCTCCCAATCTCAACTGAACTCTCTATTTCCATCAAATGTTGTTGGTAATGTTTATTCTTCTTTTCAAGCTAAATGGTTAACGAGGTATGTATTTGTTTTAGTTTCCATGTCGATATTGATGATTCTTATGTTCCTTCTTCTTCTTCTTCTTCTTCTTTCCTATTTTTAAATAAATATTTTTGTTTGTTGTAGATTGGGACGGCATATTAAAGATACCCATGATTAAAGGTGAAGAATTGAAGTTGAGGTGAGAACGTGTACATAAATTCGATTTTTAGTGTTGTGTTTCTTGATTTTCATTAAATTGGTTTGACCATGTTCTTAAAATATAAATTTTTTAGCGGACCCAAAAGTAAGTAATGATAAATATTGTACTGATCCAATTGAAAATGATGTTCTTGATGGTAAGAATAGGTACAAAGGGCAAATTATTATCTCCTATTAATTCTGTAAACAAGTATGTACTAATTAAGGTATAGAAATTTCATGGAGGAACACAAGCCCAGAAGCAGTTGGGACTAAAGATGTTCTTGATCAAGAGAATGTGAATATAGGCTAGGAAACTAGATGTTCAACTTTTGATACCAAATTTTAATTTATATGACTTCTTAGTCTTTTACTATGAATTTTTAAATTCTCTTAATTGATCTCTATTTATTTAGAAAAGAACAAAAGAATCAATGATGGGTGTAGTTGTAAATACAAGTTCTAATCAACATCAATTCTTCATATCTTCAAGTACACAATTCTCTTATACCCCTAAACATTAATATTTTTTTTCTTTTGTTGGTGGGTTTTTAAGTTCATAATCAACTGATTCTTATCAGGGTAGCAGGTTATTAGGTATTTCTTAAATATTATAGTGGTTGAAGCCTTAAGAAAGAAGATGCATTAAGTTCTTCATGGCAAATTTTTATTAGAAAACCAAAGTACTAAATGATATAGGTTTTAAAATAAAAAAAATCTTTATAAGTGAAAATTTAGAAAACCAAAGTAATAATTCCTTTATTGTAATTTCATTCCTTCCAAACACCCTTTTAGTCTCATTCTTCCAAGTTGAAAGATTTGTTTGTTATGTGTTTCTTACAGGGCTAGGATTATGTTTGTGTAATTGTAGCAATATAAATGGTACCTATGAGAGCTTACATCAGATCGATCAGCTCCTAGCCTACTAGGTGACATATATGAGGTTGGTACAAGGATAGTGTAAAGGGTAATTTCTAAAGGCACGAATTAAATTCCAAATACAACAAATGAGGTGAATGAATGATATATGTCATTTACTAAACTTAGTTATTTTTAATATATTATATTAAATTTGTGTCATAAAATAATATATTATATTAAATTTGTCCCATGAACGACATTTCTACAAATTAATGAAATGTTACTCTTCAATTTACATTAAATATCCTTACATTTATATTTGAATTTCAAATCAAACCTTGTACTCTGTAAAACTGTATTACATATATATATATATATATATATATATATATATATATATATATATATATATATATAAACTTTAGTTTCTAATCCATAATTAACACGCTACATTCATTTTAAAGCAAAAATGGTATTCTAATTTTCTTTTTAAACCAACAAAAACACGTACTTTCATTTTTAGGGACAAATTACCACGTTAATCTCATTTTTAGGGCAAATATGGCATCCTACTTTCATTTTTAAGGAAGAAGAGCATGGTGCTTTCATTATTAAGCCAATAATAGCATGCTACTTTCATTTTATGGAAAAAAATATCATGTTACTCTCTTTTTTAAGCCAAAAATAGCATGCTACTTTTTTTTTTTTTTTTTCAAAAGTAGCATTCTACTTTGATTTTTAAATGAACAATAAGATATTTCTTTTATTTTTAAGGTAAGAATATCATGTTACTTAATTTTTAACGTAAAAAAGTGCATGGTACTTTCATTCTCATGCAGACTCTAAACCCTAATGTGTACAGTTTAGACCCTATTAGAAGGACCTTAAGTCCTTGAGGTTACCCTCATCACCAGCCCCTACTGTCCCAAAGCACCTATTAAAAGGACCTTAAGTCCTTGAGGTTACCCTCATGCAATAACAATGAATTCCTAGTCATCTTTGAACTTTGAAAGCCAACATCACAAGTGTCATGCCTCTAATGGTTCACTCTAAAACTAATCAAGAGGATGAGAGAGGAGAGAGAAGGAGAGCTAAGAATTTCAGCTATTCCTCTAAGGAATCAAGTGGCAAAAAATAAGAAGGGGTAAGGCCGTTTAAATAGGTGAGGTGGCTTAGAGCCATAGCTAGGGTTTTAGATCGAAACCCTAATTCCCTTAGCTTAGGGACCAAGCAGCCCAAGAATCCCCATCCAAGAGCCCTTGGATGAAAATTCTAGGGCCTTCCAAGAAGCTTTCGTCCAACCTCTTCTAGGGAGGTTCTAGAGCCCATTTACTCAACTATCAATAAATTGCCAAACAACCCCTACACTTTTAATTAACTCAATTAATTTTTTACTAACTATTAATTAAATAATATGATTTCTAATTAATATATTATTTTCATAATACATTAATAAATCATTTATCGTAATTTATTAATCAAATAATAAATCCACGCTCTCTCCAAAAGTTGTTCTATCCAGTTTCTAGTTTTGAAGGTCACCCAAAAGGAATATGCTACTAATAATTAACTTATATACCAATTATAGTTATAGGCTTAGACACCTAATCTAATAATCTCCCACTTGGATAATTATAATAATTATAGTTT